GCTGCTTCCCCACAGTTACTGAAGTCAGACTGCAATAATAGGCATTACTTTCACAGAGGGCTGACCAAGAGTCAGTAGTGCAAAATTTCCAGAACTCTGCCAAGACTCACCAAACATTTAGGAAAATCAACACCACGAGAGAAAAGAAACATCCAAGGGAGCAATTAGTAATATAATCCAAACAAGACTTTAGAGAAAGTATAATTGAATCCTCAGGAAGATTATGTAAAAAAAAGTTACCGAGTCAGAAAGTTGAAAATAGAGCTACCCTACGACCCAGCAATCGCACTACTGGGTATTTACCCTAAAGATACAAGTGTAATGATCCAAATGGGCACCTACACACAAATGTTTATAGCAGCAATGTCCACAGTAGCCAGACTGTGGAAAGAACCTAGATGCCCATCAACAGATGAATGGATAAAGAAGGTGTGGTATATAAATATATATATATAGTGTGTGTGTGTGTGTGTGTGTGTATATAGTGTATATATAATATATTATATAAATATTATATATTTATATATAATATTTATTTATATATTATATATAACATATATATTATATATATTATATATATTGTGTGTGTATACACACACACACACACACACACACACACAATGGAATACTATGCAGCCATCAAAAACCCCGGAAATCTTGCCATTTGCAATGACGTGGATAAAACTTAGAGGGTATTATGCTGAGCGAAATAAGTCAATCAGAGAAAGATAATTATCATATAATCTCTCTGATAGGAGGAATTTGAGAGGCAGGGCAGAGGGTCGTGGGAGGTAGGGAGGGAAAAAATGAAACAAGAAGTGACCGGGGAGGGAGAGAAACCATAAGAGACCCTTAATCTCACAAAACAAACTGAGGGTTGCTGGAGGGAAGGGGGGGCGTGGAGAGGGTGGTGGGGTTATGGACATTGGGGAGGTTATGTGCTATGTATGGTGAGTGCTGTGAAGTGTGTAAACCTGATGACTCACAGACTTGTACCCCTGGGGCAAATAATACATTATACGCTAATAAAATTAATTAATTAATTAATTAATTAAAAAGAAGTTACCGAGGACACTTTTTAAAATGCTTGAAAATCTAAACTTTGAAATTATAGATAAATAAGTAAACATATAAATACAGGTAGAGGTAAGGCACTGTCCCTATAGAATAATGTAATAGCTATTCAGATATCACACCATCAACCAGAAGAAAAAAAAAGAGAACCTCTGTCATTAAAAAAAAAACAACAACCCACAAACAAGCAACAGCAAAAAAAAAATCCCTAAAAATTCAATAGGTAGGTTGAGTAGCAGAATAACCACAGCTAAAGTAAGAGGAGAATCAGCCCAGAAATTGTTCCAAGGTAGACAAAGAAATGGGAAATAGAAAATAAAAATTAAGAAATACAGAGACTGGGGCGCCTGGGTGGCTCAGTGGGTTAAGCCGCTGCCTTCGGCTCAGGTCATGATCTCAGAGTCCTGGGATCGAGCCCCACATCGGGCTCTCTGCTCAGCAGGGAGCCTGCTTCCCCCTCTCTCTCTGCCTGCCTCTCTGCCTGCTTGTGATCTCTCTCTGTCAAATAAATAAATAAAATCTTTAAAAAAAAAAAAAAAGAAATACAGAGACTAAATCTAAAGGCATTCCGAAGAATAGAACAGAAAGAAGAGAGAAAAGAGGATACACTAAGAAAATAGTAGAAGAAAATTTTACAAATGATAAAACTACTAAGATTTGCTTAAGTAAGTTCCTATGAGTAGGTGAGTGGTAAAGCAGAACCAGGAACCCAGAAGACTAACGTCTTCTTTTCATTCAGCCAGGTTAGCATTGTGTAGATGACATTTTACTAGTTCTTGATTAGACCATAAACTGACTTTACACTCTAGCAATATGGAAGAAAAGATTACCTGACAACTTTCCCACTATAAATAACTGAATGCTAGATAAAATGTACAAAATCCTTTTTTAACTCATAGTCGAGCTTTAAGAAAGTAAGATCCCCAGAGGCCAAAGACGAAGAGGTTGCTGACCCTCAGCTACTGTGGGGGCAGGCAGACGCCACTGGTCTCAGTAACCCGGGATCACACCGATCTTCCCTGCTTGTCTTACAAGGCAACTAGAAGCTGAGAAGCAAGCACCATGGACAGACAGACAGCTCCAAGAGAAGTCTTCCACTTAATGGTCAAAGAGCCGGCAAGGGGAATTAAAATGCTCAAAGAAAGTGGGGAAAGGGGCTCTGGGTGTTTCAGTTGGCTAAGCGTCTGCATTCAGCTCAGGTCATGATCCCAGGGTCCTGGGATGGAGCCCACATTAGGCTCCCTGCTCAGCGGGGAGACTGATTCTCCTTCTGCCCCTCCTCCAACTTGTGCACACACTCATATGCTCTCTCTCTCTCAAATAAAGTCTTTAAAAAGAAAGTAGAGAAATACCTCATTTCTTTTTTCTTCCATCTATTCTCTCATATCACAGTTCCAAAAGAAGACCCTGGGGAGTCTACAGAAGCCAAAACTCTTACTCTCCATTTCAAGGAGCTGAGGTCCCAAGAGGATGGACAAACCCCATTGCTTTATTTCCTCTGCCCTCATGCCACTTGGCCCAGTTGTGGGCACAGTCACAGAAGTGCCTGACATTGCAGAGTAACTAAATCACCAGCTTTTTTGCAAGACAACTGGAAAAAGGGAACCCCAAAGAACAGTAAAACCAGGGAAGCAACAGAGAGGGAGAAGCCAGGGAAAGTGACCTTCTAAAGTTGTTTATGAATTCCTGTGCTCACTCCATGCATATCTGACCTGAAACACATACCACTGACTTTGAAAATTGAACCACAGGAGAGACAATGGTTCAGATCTCAGGCTGGCCAGTGGGTGGCTCAAACTCAGAATGGCAAAGGCTAAGAATTCAAGACTGACATTGAAATCACAGTCCACACACAGAGAAGGCTAGTCAGGACTTGCAGCCTGAAGTTAAACAGGTCAATTGTTACTAATGCAATTAATATCAACATTCTTCATAGAATTTAGATGACACACAGAGTCATATACCTAATACTCATAGTGTCCATGATACAATCCAAAATTACTCAGCATGCAAAGACCAAAAGCAGTTACTGTACAAAATACTCCAAAAAAGCAACAATGGGCTCTCTTGAAATAAATACAGAAATAAAAATTTTCAGCAAAGAAACAGAATATATCAAAAAGAAACTTGAGAACTAAGAAATACAAGACTGGGTACGTTCATTGGCAAAACAGATGTCACAGGAAAGAATCAGTGAACTTGAAGACAGAGCAATAAAAAGTATCCAGTCTGAACAAAAAAAGAAAAAGAGATGGAAAATGCATAAAACCTTGGGACTTATGGGTCAATAACAAAAAGCCTAAACACCTGTGCCATCAGATTTCTAAAAGGAGAAGAAAAAGTATAGTGCTGAAAAAAACGTGGAAGAAATAATGGCTGAAAACCTTCCAAGTTTGGTGAAAAACATAAACAGAGATTTCAAGAAACTCAGAGAACCCCAACCAGGGTAAACCCAAAGTAGTCCACGCCAGCACCTACTAAACTACTTAAAGCTAAAGACACTTGCGAGGCAAAATAAAGACATTTCCAGACAAAGACTGAGAGTGTTTCCTATTAACAGACCCTTGAGAAAGAAAATGCAAAGGAAGAAGGAAAAAATGTATCCAGAAGGGAAGAGAGAGCTGGAAGAAGAAAAGGACGGCAAAGACGTTTGTCCATGTTTATAAATCAAAATAAGTATTGACTGTATAAGACAATAATGATGATGCTGGTAATGACATAAAGCCTAAATCTGGGGATTTTAAAAGACTGTGGAAATGGGGCGCCTGGGTGGCTCAGTGGGTTAAAACCTCTGCCTTTGGCTCAGGTCATGATCCCAGGGTCCTGGGATCGAGCCCCACATTGGCTTCTCTGCTCACCAGGGAGCCTGCTCCCCCCAACCCTGCTCTCTGCCTACTTGTGATCTCTGTCAAATAAATAAATGAATGAATTAAAAAATAAATAAATAAATAAATAAACTAAAAAAAAAAAAAAGACTGTGGAACTAAAATCCTAGACAATGTTAATCTATGATATGGGAGGGTATCATTAGAGTTTAATCATTCTTTTTAAAAACGAATCAGGGGCGCCTGGGTGGCTCAGTGGGTTAAGACTCTGCCTTCAGCTTGGGTCATGATCTCAGGGTCCTGGGATCGAGCCCCACATCTGGCTCTCTGCTTGGCGGGGAGCCTGCTTCCCCATCTCTCTCTGCCTGCCTCTCTGCCCACTTGTGACTTCTCTCTCTCTCTGTGAAATAAATAAATTAAAATAATAATAATTAAAAAATTTTTAAAAAAGAATCATTTATTTTAAAGAGCTAGAGAGAGCATGTGAAATGGGGGGAAGAGTCGGGGGAGAGAGAGAATCTCAAGCAGACACCCACTGAGCAGAGAGCCTGACACAGGGCATGATCCCACAGTGCTGAGATCATGACGGGAGCTGAAGCCAAGAGCTGGACACTCAGCGGATGAAGCCACCCAGGCACCCCAGAGTTAAATCATTCTAAGGTCCTTTCATTGTTTGGGTAGAGGTTAAAGATATTATCTTCAGGCTTTGTTAAGTATACATGGTGAACTTTAAAACATGTAAAAATGGATGAATCAGGTGTTGCCTGGGCAGCTCAGTAAGGTAAGCATCTGACTCTTAGTTTTGGCTCAGGTCATGATCTCAGGGCCGTGAGATCGACTCTGGCATCCGGCTCCACTCTCAGAGGGGTGTCTGTTTGAGATTCTCTCTCTCTCCCTCCGACCCCGCCCACCTCAAATAAATATAGAAAATCTTTTCAAAAAAGGAAAATAACTAGATGAATCAGACATTGACCCTGCCATCATGGAATGTCCAGGCTCACAGAAGATATGAGACCCATACAAAACTAATTCAAATCCAAAATTCGAAAACGAAAAGATGCCAGAATAGGGGCATTGAAAGCATGCATGTCTGCTGTCAAGTCTAGTTTGGCTCTAAAATTCTACCATCTGAAGGGAGGCCAAGACACAAGGTGGTATTGCTCTGGGCAGTTCAGATTCCTGAAACTTTGGGTCCTTTCCACAAGGCTGCTAGCCTTCTGGGGTTCCTGTGTTGTCTGGAAGGAGGGTAGAACTGTGAGTTGTCTCCCCACTCTTTGCTCCAGAACCAGTTTCATAGCAGCGTGTCATTTTTTTTTTTTCCTCCAGTGGTTCCTCGTGGGAGAATAGGTATATGAGTGTATCTGGGTCTGTTATAGGGAATGCATCGGGGACAATCTTATGCACGGCTTCAAGTAGCCAAGTCTCCTTCTGGCTGCCCTTCCATGACTTCAGCCCTCCACCACAGCCCCACAGCCCTGCCCCAGTGCCCTCAGCTCAGTTTCCAGGACTCCTCTTCAGCCCCAGCCCATACGTTCCCAAATGATCCTAGGGGATTTAGGCCCATACGTCATTGATGAGTGGACGAAGTTGCTTGGAGATGCTGCAAAAAACCACCTTCGTGTCCTCTCCCTTCCCATGACAGATGATGTTCCGTAGGCTCTTGACTGCCTGCACTGTTACCCGTGCTTCATTCTTCAGCAAGTCTCGCAAGAATGGAACCTGGCCCTTCAGCGATTCTGACTGTTTGGAAGAAGGCAGAGATCACTCACCACCTGGGGATCGTGCAACCCTCTGGGAACAGGGTTTTGGGAAAATAGATGGGTGTCGAAGAGAAACAGACATGGGCAATCCGGGGGCTGGGTGTGCCCAGGAAGTAGAAGGCCGGTGCTCACGGGGTTTGGGAGGCCCGATGACCAGTCTATGTAAGTCTACAGACCAGATGTTGTTCTGTCCTAAGATGAGAGGTTGGGGAACATGCTAAGCCCAAGGTCACTAAGAGACCCCAGGGAGGTAAATTAAGTGCTTCAAGGACTCAAACTTGATTCCCATTTGGTCCTCCCCACTCTTACTTGTCCTGGGTGCAGTGCCAGGTTACTGATTCCACGAAGCCCGACTTCTTTCATAATGAGGTTGGGGTCTTTGACCCACTTGATCAGATTGCTCAGAAAGTCTTGTCCCAGAGTCTGAGCCACTGACCGGTGCCAGAGGAGCTGTGGGTACGAGGAGATGACCGCTACGGATGGCGAAAGGTTCATGATACCCAGTACCCACCTTAGCCCTCCCTTGGTCCCCCACTCAGGTAAGGAGTAGTCCAGTTGAGAGCAATGGCAGATCTGTACAAATGGGTTGGAGACTAAGATAAGGAGGGAGGATAATGCTGGTAAGGTTTGAATCTTGAGTCAGATGCTAGGATCCACGGATCATTCTGGAGGCTGAGCTACTGGCTCCCTCCGCAGGCTTTCTTGCCTCCTTTAACCAGGCACCTGAAGTGCCAGAGAAGGAAACCTCACTTTAAATGACTCAGTCTTATTCTGTCCTCTTTTGGGGACTACTTATTTAACATTTCTGTTAAGTACTCCTCAGCCCAGGAAATGAATGGCCCAGGCTGTGGGCCTTTCCCCGGGCTTCACCTGTGCATAGAAAGTCCTGGCCAGGATCTTTTGATGGTAGCTGGAGCTATAGAGGTAGTTTCTGACAAGGTTGAGGACCCGGTGCAGGACGGCAGGTTCACAGGTCTTCACAATGCCGCTGGGGTGGGACACAGGAAGCAGTTGCTAGGGGGCAGGGAGGTAGCAAGGGACCAGTGTGCATGAATAGGGAAGAAGTGAGGGCTGAGGAATCAGGAGACCAGAGGGCTGGGAGGTGGGGAAGGGACAGCTGAAGGCTGGGACTTGGTAACTTGGGGTCAGGGGACTAGAGTGGTGCCAGGGTCACTGGGGAAATAGCCTCACCTTGTCAGGTCCATGATCCCTATGTAGTAAAACCTGGGGCAGGACAGAAGGTCCCAGCAGTGATGCTGATTTGCATAGGTCACCACTCCATCATATGCAGCGGCCAAGAACACCAACTTCACAACCTCCAGGGCACAACTGAAGGTCACAACCATTGGTGAAGAAAAGAAAGGGACAAAAGAGTGGACAAGGCATTATGTCCTCATTTGTATCCTGTGCTGGGAAGTCAGGAGACAGTTTCCTGTTCTGGTTGCTGTGTTCTGTTCTCCTGCTGACAAAAATCCATGGTTCTTGTGAAACCCATCTCTGACTGCCCATCCACTCCTTCAGCTTTGGCCCTCATCCAACCACAGAGTCCTACAAAAAAAACTATAGAGAGATCTTAGTGCTTTGGTTTTCCACTTCTGCTCTCCAAGGGCACAGAATGGGGTTAGGATATAGATTTACCTCCACACCCATCTCATCAGAAATTCTCTGCTTATTGGGTCTATTTGTTTTCATTTAACATAAGATTCCACTTGAGTAGAATGTCCTGAGGTTTAATTAAAAAAAAAAAAAGTGTGACAACCACACATTTAAGAGTCAACCTCCATTTTCGAGATGAGAAAATGGAATGCCGCTCGTTGACTTGTGCAAGACAGCAGAACTAGTGACAAAGCCAAGCCAGAGTCAATGAGATTCGAGGGGTCATAACCACATGGAGAGAATGACCTAGATGTGGGCTTGCCCTGCCGCCCACCATCTAGTTGACTCTTCCTGTGCAGTTATAAACAGGGACATGAAATGTCAAGTGAGTCAGCTGAAGTGTGCATACAACAAGAGAAATGAGAAGCTTGAAAATATGTGAGAATATTCTAGCACATGGGTTGCCCAGGGCCTTCTGGAAGTGGCTAGTCCCATCCATCACGAGGGGGTTAGGCTTACCTCGTGGGGTCAAAGGGCTTGCTCTTGCTGCCTGGGCCCCCCTCCTTGCTATAGACCACCATCTTCTGGGGGACATTTTGCTCAATCACCCAGCAGAGATGACATAATATAGCCAACAAGAGCCGGGGATAGAGCTCCTGGACGGCCTCCTGGCACAGGGACCCTGATAGCATCTCACACAGGGCACATGTCACCTGGGAGACAGCAGAGGAAGACATAAGATGGTACCATGGCCCCATACACTGAGTCCCACGCTGCCCTCCCCATCACTGCCCAAATGGCACAGTCACTCTGACTCAGGCTCGTAAGAAGCCCTCTAAGACTAAAAGCCTACCACACTTCCTTAGGGAAATGAGATTGCACACAGGCAGCCTGCTTTCTCTTCACTCCCCCGACATCAAAAAGAGAATGGGAAGCAACTCGAACTTTTTAGCAGAAAATGATGTGGGGACTACTTTGTCTACTCCGGGCAAACAAACCTCTTTTGCTTCCAACCCTCGTGCTACCCCCCAGGCCCTGGAAAAAGGAGTGCCAGCCCCAGAATCAGGAGACAGAGAAAACTGCTTAGCTCTAAACATCAGTTTCCTTGTCCAAAAATGGGATCAATCCTCTTTCTCTCTACATCACTCAGTTCTTAGATATACAGGCGGAAAAAGGAAGTAAAGTGCAAATCGAAAGTATAGCATTTCCTTAAAGGTTTATCTATTTATTTTAGAGACAGAGAGAAAGCATGAGCAGGAGGAGGGTCAGAGGGAGAGGAAGAGAGAGACTCTCAAGCAGATTCCCCGCAGGGCACGCAGCGCAACAGGGGGCTGGATCCCACAGCCCTGAAACCAGGACCTGAGCTGAAATCAAGAGTCGGACGCTCAACTGACTGAGCCACCCAGGTGCCCCTCGAATGTACAGTATTAGTGAATGCTCCTCTCTAAGACCTGCTCCCACCCTGCAGCCCTTGACCTTCAGCTCTGCCCCTAAGTCCCAGAACAGTAAGTTGTTGGGTCCCCCCTTCCCTCATGCTGACCGCCACAGGCTGGAAGGCCATCTCCTCAGTCTCCTCTCTGGAGTGGAGTTTTTCCAGGATGCTGATGAGCAGCTGCAGGACACTGATCGTGGTCTCTCGCCGGGTGCCAAATGCCTTCCATAGGGCCAGACTGGTTCTGTAGGACCCGGGGACAGCTATGTCATGGGCCTTGGTGACCAAGCTCCTAGGGCTAGTCTGGTCTCTAGCCCATGAAGGGCTGGTTCTCAGGGTCTAGACTTGGCCAGAGAACACAGAGATGAAGTTCGATTGGTGTCAGAGGGAAAGCATCCCTGTGCGGTGGTTTTTGTGTGGAGCTCGGGCTAAGGGAGGGGAGGGTTTACTGGGCTGGAGAGTGTGTTCCCAAGCCCTGGGAGAGGTACCTATCCCAAGGCAGGGACTTGCTGAGAAGCAAGGGCACGACACTGTGGGTGTTGTTGCCGGCCAGCAAGCACACGCCCCGCACGACCTCCTCCTTTGTACTGGGCTCCAGCTGGGAGTTGAGCCGTTCCAGAATCCCCTCCACGATTTCCTCGATCTAAAGGGAGGAGCCACAGGAGTCTCAGTAAGCCTTCCCGCCTCCTCCCTATCTACCAACTCCCAGACTCAAGGGCGTCCTTGCAATCCTGCCAGTGATACTCTTCTTAAGGCTGAGTTCTAGGGTGCCAGAGGCCAGACCAGCAGGGGTCACAAAAAGAACTCCAGAAGCTCACGGAGGCCTGCTATGATGAAGGCCTGTCCACAGCCCAGAGTTCAGAGTGTCGCTCCAAGCTTACTTGGGAGACACAGGAGACTCCAGGAAGGAAGGCAAAAACCTTGGGGGACACTTCAGGACTTTGTCTCCCCACTGAGATCAACTTTCAACCCATGAAACTGCAGGGGCAGTTAGCACTGGAGGTGGGTGTACCACAGGACTCTGACTTGGCCTTCAGATTCCTGATATGCAGGTCTCCAGGAAGTCCATTTTATTCTACTACTTCAAGGACACACCTCCATTTCTGGTACCTAGACCAGGCAAGTCATATAAGTGAGTGAAGGCAATGGGTGTCAGGAGATTCAGAGAGAGGAAAGTCTGGAGAGCCCATGTCACATATAAGAGGGACCTTGGCTGCCCATAGAGTTGCCCTATGTGGCCTCATTTAAAAAATTTTTTCAGTGGAGTGGGAAATGTGGATTTCTATATGTTATTCTGAAAGAAATTTTACTCAACGCTCAGTCATTCCATGAGCTTGCTGGTTTGTAATCCGCAGCCTTACCCTTCCCAGAAATTGAAGCCCCCTGACACCCCTAGGCAATCAGCGTGGATCCCCCCACAACATTTTCTTGTGCTCTGGCCACTAGGCCTCACGGCTGCTCATACCCCCACATGTGGTGGTAGTTAACTGATGAGCCAGCCCACCAGATCAAAGGCAGAGCTGTTCCAAGTACTAAGGAGTGCAGCTGTCAGAGCTCAGGGGACCCCAGAGAAAATCTAGCCCAACCCTATGTTTCCTTTTTTTTTTTTTTTAAGATTTTATTTATTTATTTGAGAGAGAAAGAGAGAGTACAAGCAAGGGGAGCAGCAGAGGCAGAAGGAGAGCAGACTCCCTGCTGAGCAGCAAGCCTGACATCGGGCTCAATCCCAGAACTCCGGAACCATGACTTGAGCCAAAGGCAGACACTTAACCGACTGAGCCACCCAGGCGCCTCCCAAGCCTACATTTTTAAAAGTGCGTGAATCAAGGCCTCCAGAGGAGAGGGACTGCCCAGGACTCTTCAGCTGGTTAGGGACAGAGCCAGGGGAGAGCCCAGACGGGTGTGCGGGCCAGAGCTCCTACCACGGCCCCGCGCTACCTTAATCATGTCTCGGCCCCGCTCTTTCATGACCGCGCTCATCAGCTGGGCCGCCGCCAGAGACACCTTGGCCTTGCCGTCAGTCAGGCCCTCCATGGCCGTCAGCACCAGGGTGGTGAGCTGCATCTGCGTGAAGTACTCCGCAAAGGCCTGCAACAGGGTGGCGTCAGGCTGCCTGCCCCGGGACCTCCGGCCGAGACAGCCCGTCCCACCTTCCTGCTAGCGCAGGTGGAGAGAGCCTCTCCTGGGAACCTGGAGTGCTTTGTCCTAGGCCTGTGCTGTCTGCCTAGCACCTAGAAGACCCTTTCCCTGGGAGCAGAGTCTTTGGGGTTGGGAGGGAGAGACCACTGACCTCGGCTGCTCTGAGGGGCCCCAGGGGCAGAGTGCTGGGAGAGAAGGGCTGAGACCAGGATCCTGGGTGATGGGATCTTTGAGGCAGGGGCTCAATCTACACATCACTCGCAAAGCATCGTTAGCATGAAGCAGATGCTTCTGGGGGCGAGCGGGTAAGGAAGGCGCATTAGGACCCAGGATGCTTAGGGGGAAGGTGGTGGGAGCGTGCGGAAAACATCCCCCAAGGCGAGAGTTCACAGGCGGCAAAAGAATAGAAAGGAAGATGGGATGGAAAGGAACACCCCCACCCCCGCACCCCTCACCGCACCCCCCCTCAGGGTCTAGAACCTGACGCAGGTGAGAGGCCGAGGCTCTTCCCACTTTGTCTCTGGCACTGCCCCCTCACCTTGACGATCTCAAAGGTGTTGTTATAGAACACATTGGCGCTGTAGACTTCACTCTTGCCCTCTTCTTCCCACAAGCCCTGTTTTTTCCTTCCCATCTCTGAAACAAAGACACCCAGCCCCACCCCTCAGACACTCAGAAGGTGTCTCAGGTTGCCCGCTTTCCCATCTGCCCAACCCAAACCACCGACTGGACTGAGTCAGCTTGGCGTAATGTGCGACCCGTGGGGAAGGGAGTAGAGAAATGGGCAGTAAGATCATAAGGAACAGTGAGAGCCAATGTCAAAGGAGCCCCCGTGTGGCCTGCCTCAGAGCAGAGACAGAGTGGGGTCAGGGTATAGGGCTCAGCCAGAGGAGGACAAACGAATTCAAAAGAACTGTTTGCTTAGTAGCTATTTTGTCCCAGGAGGGTATATGTCAGGGTCTAGGGGCAGGTTCCTCGTTGGAAGGAAGATGCTCAGGGAACTGCTTAGCTCTCACTCTTCTAGGACAGCATGTGAGAGAATGACCGAACAGAGGTGGGAGGCCGGAGCAGAAGTGAAAAGAGGAGATTCTCCCTACGCTTTTGCAGCAGGAGGATACAGTAGAGGTTGTAGACAGCCTGTGCAGACAGGAAGCAGATGTTGTCCACTGGGTCCTGGCAGCGTATGGCCAGCAGCCTTACCAAACGCCCCAGCCGAGTGAACTCGATGTCCATCTGGGGAGGAGAGCTGGAAGTCACAGGTTACCCCAGCCACTCTCTTAGGCCGAGTCAAAGCAAGAAGAGAGGAAGAGGGGATTCGTGAGAGATAGGAGAGGTGAGACTAGGTGAGGTTAATGGAAATGGACTTAGACAGGTGTGTGGGTCATAGTTTTGGAATGACCTTACACTGTCCCTCTTCTTTGCCTCTTGACACGGCACTCGTTCTTGGAGCCTAGCTCAAATGTCCCCTCCTCTAGGAAGATTTCCTTTCACTTGTACTTCATTTGTGTTGTGATCTTTTATTCCTACTGTATTTGGAGTTTTTACAATCGTTATCGCCTTCTATTTAAGTTTGTTCTATGCATGCCTCTCTCCCCAGTTGGACCGTAAAGCTCCACGATGCATAGATGTCTCGGTCATCTATGCATCCACTGTAACACCTGGCATGGTGCCTGGCACAAGGTGAGTATTCAGTAACTGCTTGTTGAGACGAATGGAATCAAACTGAACCCAGTGGAATGGAATAAAATTGGTGAGTAGGGAAAAGACCGAGGGAGATAAGAGAGACGATAGGATGCACAAAAGAAAATAGAGGATGGGGCCAAGGAAATGGAGGGTAGGATGAGTAATTGAGGCTAGGTAATATGTGATGAAGTTTGTGGTAAGGGTAGGAATGAGGGCCTAGACTCCAGGGCAGGCTCACACTTACTCCAACGTTATTCGTTTTTGCAGTGAAGCCAAGAATACGGGCAGCACACCACATGGCCCGTTCCCTCTCATTGTCCTTTTGGGAATTCAGCCATGTGTCCAGAACCTAAAGGAAGAGGAGAATGAAATGAGGGGTGAGGGGTCTGTTCAGCTGTGTTCCAGAGGGTAGAAATGTAACCTGAACTTCTGCAAAGGATCAGGACAACACTTCTGAGAATAGGATTTCTTTTGCTTATAGGCTGGTTATATATGGCTTTGACACCAGAAGCTTCATTCTTCTAGCCCCAAATTTTGCCTTATCTAGGTGCTAGAAACATCTTCAATTAGTATCTCCTTTCAAATTAAGGCAGTGGCTCTGAAATTATATTGACTGTAATTCATTTTAATGGGTCAACATACCCCAATGCCCCCCCTACTAATGTTTTCCCATTCTTCAGTAGAAAGGGAACTTGGTAATAACAAATTACAAAAATAACAAATAACAAAAATAACAAAAAAGAATCACTGTATTCACAGATTTCTGGCTGAATTATGTATAAATATGTTTAAGAAATATAATTATGGATGATTCCTATTTGGAACACAATCTATAAGTGTCTCACCATTGGTAAATTATGGGCCCTAAATACCACTGATCCCAAGATGCACTAATATGTCCATCTACAGCAATTCATCTGGCAATGATGGGTCTAACCAAACAGCAATTTATAACTGAAAAAGAAGAAGAGTAGCAGATGAAAAATCCACAACAAATGGAAGAAAAGACTAATGATACATTGGTAAGAAAACACATTCTTCCTGAAGATATAAGCAATTCTAGTGGGAAGGCTGCAAGTCTTCCTCATAGCCAGACTCTGACGAAATGTCCCAGCGCCAAGATTGTGGTCTCTAAATGCCATTTTTCTCTAAGAGCAATCATTGCTCCTTGGAGTAACAGTTCGTTCCAGGACTGGGACAGGAAATATACAAGATATTATACTGGAGAGCAAGTCTATGGAAGACTATGGAAGTCATGCTAAAGGGATTCAGGAGCCAACCTAAAGAGGCTCTCATTAATCAAAGATGGGATCATTAAGAATAATAGTTGTAATTGATCAAAATATATGAAGCATTTCAAAATTCATTTTAAATTCAAAAGATACTAGAGAAACAACCCTTGGTAGTCATCCTTGGAGAATATTAGGAATTACTTCATTACTTTGACAAATGATAAAGAAAAATGATCCAGCATTTATCTTGTCTTTCTTATATGAGCTATACCTCAAACTAACCAAATAACTTATAAAGGCAATTTCTCTTTGTAGAAGAATTCCCGATAAAAATGAGTAAGGAGTGAAAGAATTACAATGTCATCATTTTGCAAAAATAAGTAGAGGTATGTTCATTCAACAGAATACTACATAGAAATAAAAAATGATCTGATGCTACATGTAACAACATGGGTGAGTCTCACAGATAAAATATTAAAGGGAAATAATATAGACACCAAAAAGTACATATTATAAAATTCTATGTATGTGAAGTTTAAGAACAAGCTAAATTAATCTAGAAGTCAGAATACTGGTTATCAGTGGTTATTCAGTGGAAGAGGAACCTTTTGAGGTATTGGAAATGTCCTATATCCTGATCTGATATTTATACATATGTAAAAATGTATCTAAGTATACACACAAGATTTGTACACTTTACTGTAGCAAGTGATATCTCAATAACAAGGTCTTTCTTTAAAAAGAATATCCCCAAATTTCAGCCACTAATCAATTAATGAATCAAAGCAGTGATCACCAAAAGTATTGAAGAGTAATGATGTGATACTTTATGTAGAAAACCCAAAAGACCCCCCTCTCTCTCTGCATCCTCTCTGCCTACTTCTGATCTATCTGTCAAATAAATTAATAAAATCTTTGGGGTGCCTGGGTGGCTCAGTGGGTTAAAGCGTCTGCCTTCGGCTCAGGTCATGATCCCAGGGTCCTGGGATAGAGCCCCACATCAGGCTCTCTGCTCAGCAGGGAGCCTGCTTCCTCCTCTCTCTCTCTCTGCCTGCCTCTCTGCCTACTTGTGATCTCTGTCTGTCAAATAAATAAATAAAATCTTAAAAAAAAAAAAACAACCAAAAGACTCGGTCCCAAAACTATTAAAATTCATACAGGAATTCAGTAAAGTGGCAGGATATAAAATCAATGCACAGAAATTAGCTGCATTTCTATACAACACCATCAAGACAGAAAAAAGAGAAATTAAGAAGTCAATGCCATTTATAATTGCACCCAAAACCATAAGATAGCTAGGAATAAATCTAACCAAAGAGGAAAAGGATCTGTACTCAGAAAACTACAGAATACTCATGAAAGAAATTGAGGAAGACACAAAGAAATGGAAAAACATTCCATGTTCATGGATTGGAAGAACAAATATTGTTAAAATGTCTATGCTACCTAGAGCAATTTACACATTCAATGAAATCCCTATCAAAATACCATCAACTTTTTTCACAGGAATGGAACAAATAATCTTAAAATTTATATGGAACCAGAAAAGACCCCAAATAGCCAAAGGAACGTTGAAAAAGAAAACCAAAGCTGGTGGCATCACAATCCTGGACTTCAAGCTCTATTAGAAAGCTGTCATCATCAAGACAGTATGGTACTGGCACAAAAACAGACACATAGATCAATGGAACAGAACAGAGAGCCCAGAAATGGACCCTCAACTCTATGGTCAACTCATCTTCAACAAAGCATGAAAGAATGTCCAATGGAGAAAAGACAGTCTCTTAAACAAATGGTGTTGGGAAAATTGGACAGCCGTGTGCAGAAGAATGAAACTGGACCTTTTCCTTATACCATATACAAAAATAGACTCAACGTGGATGAAAGACCTAAATGTGAGACAGGAATCCATCAAAATCCTTCAGGAGAACACAGGCAGCAACCTCTTTGACCTCAGCTGCAGCAACTTCTTCCTAGACATATCACCAAAGGCAAGGGAGGCAAGGGCAAAAGTGAACTATTGCGACTTCATCAGTATAAAAAGCTTTTGCACAGCAAAGGAAACAGTCGAAAAAAACCAAAAGATAACCAATAGAATGGGAGAAGATACTTGCAAATGACATATCAGATAAAGGGCTAGTGTCCAAAATCTATAAAGAACTTAGCAAACTCAATGCCCAAAGAACAAATAATCCAATCAATAAATGGGCAGAGGGGGGTGCCTGGGTGGCTCAGTGGGTTAAAATCTCTGCCTTTAGCTCAGGTCATGATCTTAGAGTCCTGGGATCGAGCCCCGCATCAGCCTCTCTGCTGGGCAGGGAGCCTGCTTCCCCCTCCCTCTCTGCCTGTCTTTCTGCCTACTTGTGATCTCTGTCAAATAAATAAATAAAATCTTTTTAAAAAGAAAATTAATGTTAATTATAAATATTTTTTAAAAAAAGAAATGGACAGAGACATGAATAGACATTTCTTCAAGGATGACATCCAAATGACCAATAGACACATGAAAAAGTGCTCAACACCACTCAGCATCAGGGAAATACAAATCAGGACCACAATGAGATACCACATCAAACCAGCCAGAATGGCTAAAATGAACAAGTCAGGAAACGACAGATGTTGCGAGGATGAGGAGAAAGGGGAACCCTCCTACACTATTGGTGGGAATGCAAGCTGGTGCAGCCACTCTGGAAAACAGTTCCTCAAAAAGTTGAAAATAGAGCTATCCTATGACCCAGCAATTGCACTACTGAATATGTACCCAAAGATACAAATGCAGTAATCTGAAGGGGTACCTGCACCCGAATGTTTATAACAATAATGTTCACAATAGTCAAACTATGGAAAGAGCCCAGATGTTTATTGACAGACAAACGGATGAAGAAGATGTGGTATATATATATATGTATACATACATACATACATACATACAATGGAATATTATGCAGCCATCAAAAATTGAAATCTTGCCATTTGCAAAGATGTGGATGGAACTAGAGGGTATTATGCTAAGCAAAATACGTCAATCAGAGAAAGACAATTATCTTATGATCTCACTGATATGTGGAATTTGAGAAACAAGGCAGAGGATCATAGGGAAAGAGAGGAAAAAAACTGAATCAAGATGAAACCAGAGAGGGAGACAAACCATAAGAGACTTTTAATCTCAGCAAACAAACTGAGGGTTACTGGAGGGGAGGGGGATGGGAGGGATGGAGTGACTGGGTGATGGACATTGGAGAGGGTATGTGCTATGGTGAGTGCTGTGAATTGTATAAGACTAAAGAAACACAGACCTGTATCCCTGAAACAAATAATACATTACATGTCAATTCTTTTTAAAAAAAATCTGGGGTGCCTGTGTGGCTCAGTGGGTTAAGGCCTCTGCCTTTGGCTCAGGTCATGATCTCAGAGTCCTGGGATCGAGCCCCACATCGAGCTCTCTGCTTAGCGGGGAGCCTGCTACCTCCTCTCTCTCTGCCTGCCTCTCTGCCTACTTGTGATCTCTGTCTGTCAAATAAATAAATAAAATCTTAAAAAAAAAATAAAAAAATAAAAAAATAAAAAATCTAAACATCACCAGAAGACAACTAGACATTATGTGCCTCTTAAAAGAAGACAAGACTACTTCTGAAGTAATCTTGCCAAAAATTCATCAGATTCGTGATCTAGGTCTGATAATCAGAATCAGAATCTAACATATCCTAGATCTAGCAATTTATAGGAAAGATTTGGGCAGAGGAATTTGTTATGTGGCCCCTAAAGAATGTAATCAGCACAATCCAGAATGTGGAAAATTCAGAGAACAAATGTCTAGGTTTCTTCAACAAATAAATTTCAAGGAAATAGTGATAGAAGGACAATCTATAGATTAAGAGAATTAAGAAAAAAACCAATCAACTGGAATGTCTGAATATTTAATGACATTAAGAAATGAAATTACTTTCTTTCTTCAATGTTTTATAGTTTTCAGAATACAAGTCTTTTTACTTCATTGGTTGATTCCTAGTTATTTTATCATTTTTTGGTGCAATTGTAAATGAGATTGTTTTCTTAATTTCTCTTCCTGATACTTCATTATTAGTATATAATAATGCAACAGATTTTGGTATATTAG